ATCCCCGCCTCTTTGCATGCGAATACACCTCACTATCCACAGTAAGTTCTACGCTAGAGAAACCTCCGCTGTGCTGTCCCGTGCCCTGCTCAGCGGCCAGCCCCGCCACTGCCTAGCCCCTCACCCACCGGCCCCCATCCCCCAGCACAAGAGGAGGAGCTGCGGTGTCTCCTCTCTCTTCCACGTTTTTTATTTTGCTCGAGTGTGAACTACTCGTCTCTACGCTGCATACTCGCCGCCAAAGCGGCGCAGTGACAGCCGCAGCTGCTTCTGCTGCAGCAAGACCAGCAGCGCCCGCTGCAGCAACAGCAGCGTGGGCCCCCACGAAAGGCAGCAGATTAAGCAATAGATGCAGCAGAAGCAGCAGCGGGAGACACAGCAGCAGCAGCATCAACAGCAGCACTGGCAGCTGCAGCATGAGGTCCAAACCACCTATATTCCCTTTAACAGGGATATCTAAACACGAGGAGGAGCTGTGTACTTTCTAGCTGGTGGGGCAGCAGCTGCAGCGTGGTTTGCGTGGATATAACACAGAGGAGCATTCACTCGGTCTGGGCGGGGCTGGGGTTGCTGCTGAGTGAGTACAAACGCTGCAGCAGCAACGCATGCAGCAGACGGGGCTTGGCTGTGCTGCATCCGCAGCAGCAGCGAGGGGCGCAACAGCAACCCCACTGCTGCTGCCTCGCAGCAACACCCAGGCGGCGAGCTCAACACCCAGGAAAAAATACAAACGCTCTGTACACGTCCCCACAAGCAACGCATGCAGCAGCAGAAGCCCCACTGATCAGATGCATGCGGGAGAGAGGCTAGGCAGCAGCAGCAGCAGCAGCAGCAGCAGCAGCAGCAGCTGAGGGGCAGCGTTAACCCCCATAGTATAGCAGCTGCGAGCGAGCTAGCTAGCTGCAACACCACCGGGTAAAGTTTGCTCTTATTAAGAAATTAAATCATTTTTATGTATAAAATATATAAATAAAAATTAAAATGTATTTAATTTAGTATATAATACATGGGAACCTGTGAGACACAGTGTAACAGCAGCAGCAGCAACACCAGCAGCAGCAGCGGCAGCAGCAGCAGCAGTAGATGCAGCAACAGCATTATTGGCTTCAGCAGCCCCTCTTGCGTTTTAATGAGATATATCATTAGAAATTATTTTAAATAATATAAAAATATACTCATACACCCTCAGCAGCAGCAGCAGCAGCAGCAGCAGCAGCAGCAGCAGCAGCAGCAG